CTCTCTCTCTCTCTCTCTCTCTCTCTCTCTCTCCTTTCCCCTCACCCCTCCCACCTTTCCTTGCCATCCCCAGGAGGCACAACCACACATCTTGTGGGAACAGTGACCTCACTGTGAGTGACCAGGACCGTGTCACGCAGTAGAGTAACGTCCTTTGTGAGTGACCAGAGTTGTCTCAGGTAAAGTGACGTCATTGTGAGTGACCTGTGCTGTGAACCGCTGACGTCATGAAGTACGACGACCTCGTGGAGTACTTGGGGGAGTTCGGGCCCTACCAGCGCCGTGTCTACTTCATCACCTGTATGCCGGCTCTTGCTGCGGCCATACAGACGCTCATACCTGTGTTCATTCTCGCAGTGCCTGATTACAGGTGGGTGTAGTTGTAGTAGTTTCATCATTGTCGTCGTCGTCGTCGTCGTCATCCACGTCATCATCATCATCATCATCATCATCATCATCATCATCATCATCATCATCATCATCATCATCACCATCACATCGACCAGTACGACTTATGCCACTATCAATCTTTTCAAAGACCCCCATAAGCATGCCCCCCGCCCCCCAAAAAAAATCCTTCAACATATACACCCCTTCCCCTCCCTACCCTCTACTCCTCCTTATTCCCACCCAATTCCCATCCCCTCTACGAACATCTCCAACCTCCCATTCCCTCTACTGACCCCGCCCCCAACCAACGTTTCTCAACTCCGTCCACATCATCACCCCACTCCTCTCTCTATTCCCACCTTATTCCTGCACTCCCCACCAACCCCACCCCTCTCCTACGCTCTCCATCACTTCCATCCCTTCCTCCCAACCACCCTCCCCTCATTTCCACCTTATTCTTATTCCTACCCTCTCCTCAATTTCCCCCCCCCCCCCCAACTAAAAAACTTACCCTCCCAAAATTCCCACAATACTCCTATCCTCTCCATCACTTTCACCCCCCCCCCGAAAAACAATACAAAACAAACAAACAAACAAACAACTATCCCCTCATTCCCACCTCATCCGTACCTTCTCCATGACTTCCACACCCACACCCTCTCCCCATAAAAACCCGCTCTCCACTAATTCCCACCTTGTCCCCATCTCGTCTCCATCCCTACCCCCTTCTCTCAACTCC